GAATACTCTTTCTTACCAAGCACAAGAAACTATGGGTTTAACAGATCATAAGCCACATGGTCCCTTTATTTTCTTTCTAATAAGAATTACATGCCACTATTTCCACAACAACAAAAACACAACCTTAAGAAAGAAAGAAGTACCTCGGTGTCAAAGCGAACTGTGCAGGTGAAAGATTTTCCAGTGTCAGTCCTAACAGTAACATCTTGAACAGGCCTTATCTCGTTAATTTTACTGGGAAGGTCAATGGTATAACCTCATGACCTGTCAAGCCAAGTGAGTCTGCATCTTCACCAGGCTTGAAACAAAGCGGAACAATACCCATCCAACCAAATTACTGCGATGTATCCTCTCAAAAACTCTTTGCAATCATTGCTTTAACTCCCTGTTACATTCCAATAGTTACTAAAAGGAGCAGAAGACGACACAATACAAGCCAAAATGGATGGAGAAGTGCGAACTAGTTCAAATGCCCATATAACAATACTCACCAACAACATTGGGCCTTTAGCAGCCCAATCACGAGAGCTTCCACTTCCATACTCTGCTCCAGCCAATACAATAGTATCCTGTCCAGCAGCCTTGTACCTCTGAAAAAGTGGATTGACCACAAAAATTTAGTAATGAAGAGTAAATTGTAATAGGAATATTATTACTATCTTTCAGGAATTGATAATTTACAGGAAATGACTTCAAATAAGATTTGCTTTTGTTTATTTGTGGCATATGAAAGTTCATTTCTCAGCAATGTTGTTCAAAGTAACAGAATTTTGTTTAACGAAGCTGAATTCTAGACCCAAGTCATTAAAAAAAAATATGAGAGATCTTCTTAATGATGACAACCCTAATTGTATTTATAAGCAACAAACAATTTCACATAAATCTGATTACATCCTTCATCATTGTGGAAATTAAAAGCATTAGTATCATAGATGTTGGCAGTTTATTGTTTGGCACAAAACTGACAAAGACATGACTAGGCAGGATGAAAGTATATGCAGAAAATTAACATTTAAAGAACTGACTGCTGCTGCATCAAACACATAGCGTTTCTCCCCTGTAGGAACATGAAGTGTCTTTGGGCCAACTTCCCCATTAATAGCGTGTTGACAATACGGATATTTGTAAAAGTTCCTCTTGCCATCACTTCATCATTACCACGACGGCTACCATAAGAATTGAAGTCCTTGCGTTCCACCCCATGCTCAAGGAGATACTTTGCAGCAGGACTATCCTTGTTAATGCTTCCTGCTGGGGAAATGTGATCCGTTGTAATACTATCACCAAAGTTCAGCAAGCAGTGAGCATCCTTCACTCCACTGGGCAGGAGGATCCATGGTCTTGTTCTTGAAATATGGTGGCTCATGAATGTAGGTAGAATTGGGGTCCCATGAGTATAGTTTAGAAGCTGGAACTGATAGGTCATTCCACATGGATTGCCCTTTGTTATAGACTCGTAAGTACTCTTGAGCATGTTTGGCAATACACTGGATTGTACAACCTAAACAGCATTTCAGCCCAATTTCATTTATTTTACAAAATAAAAACTTCGTCAAAGGATCTAGAAACTCAAGATGTGTACCTCTGCAAACTTCTTCAGTAGATGGCCAGAATATCCTTGAAATAGACATTCTTGCCATCCTTCCCAACTCCAATCGGCTCCTTCTCAAAGTCAATGTCACCTATAAATAAAATTTTATCTCATCACAAGTTGAGTCAATGGGATCAAAAAGAATACGACGTGTATGACATGAAAAAAAATTGCACGATCTAATTACGTCAAGTTAATGCAACAAACAAAACTTGGGTCCTCAGTTGACCAACCTTACTCAAAACTGTATCATTTAAGACAATATATAAAATGACAATTCAGACAACAAGAACAATTACTGACTAAAGCTGAATAGTCGAGACCAATATATAAGTAGTCCATATACACAACACAGTAGACAAGTTAACAGCCCTTCCAGTGGTTGTAGAGATATATAATATGAGACAACCAACCTACCTAGAATACATATATAAAGTATTCACTATGAATTGTATGTGGACACCACTTCTACTTGCTCCACATTTAGTAAGTAGGATTTGAACCACAATGTATACATGGATTGATTGATCCACTATCATTCATGGACTTCCACATACAACATGAAATTGACACGGTGCAAACATATCATTACGGAAAATTCTTCGAATATGAGAAATGGTTTTACTGCATTACAACAATGCATGAATGCACACATAATAATTTGCTCCCTCGTTGTCACATTTCCCCCATGCTAAAAACCCAGAGCCATCTCATTCAAATTACAGGAATGACTCAAGTTTTAAACAATTTTGACATAATCACTAATTATGTATCTTTTTTAAGCCCTCATTCCATAGGTTATATAAATAACATTTCGCAAGCCAAAGGAACATTAGACATGATAGGGAGGGTATGAGAAGTAACAACACATGTCAAAAGTTACCAAGAGAATCCAAAAGATTTGGTGTAAAACACATCTCCAGACTCTTCATAAGTAGTATCCTCAATACACAAAGTAAGTATCCATCGTATACCAATGCAAAAGTTAAGACCATGCACCAGCCAACTTGGGTTATTGGTCGCTAATGTAATGCTAAAGCAATGTCTAAATGTGGCAGCTAACAAAAATAGACTATTCTTAAGTGACCAATTAATACATTGATACAAAGTCAAAAGACTGTGTACCAAGTGACCAACCCTACTTGGATATAAGTAATTTATGTGAAACTAATGCAGCTGCCAACCTAGATGGTGAAGCTATGAAGCACCTGTGATGACTGGGTACGTTATTTGTCTCGTTCCCTTTGGTTTAAATCTTGATTTGTTGTATTCGGAAGCTTACTTCAAGATCCTTGCTTTTATTTACTTCTATGTCACGTTTCTCTCGTTTGGAAGGTGGCGAGGTTGAGCCTGGAGTGTCCGGTGTTGAGCTGGGAATATTTCCTGGTTGGGAGGGGGGGCTAAGCCGCACGTGCGGGGCCTTGGGCCACACATGCGGGAAGGGGCCGCACGGGCGGAAAACAAGGGAAGCTCTGGGTTGGTCCTGCATTATGCAAGTACAAGAGGATGTGCAGAATAGAAGATCCGCACGTGCAGGGATGAGGCCGCACGTGCAGGAGGCACGCTCCGCACGTGCGGGGATAAGTGCCGCATGTGCGGGACGGTCTGTGTCCGAAAATCAGATTTTTCCTTCTCTTTGGGTTGAGTGCATATCATTTTTGTATATCTCTCTCACTCTAAAATCAACTTTTGCTCCTCCTCCTCTCTAAAAACCTCCACCAAACTTCTTAAACCCTTGATTTCTTCCAATCCATTGGGGTTTTGACCTATCATCCTCCACAAATATTGGAGAGCTAAGCAAGAGCTACATTATGTGCGGTGGAGATTGAGGTTTGGCACCGTGGATTTTGGGGGTTTCATTTCATTTTCTTCTCCAAACTTGAGGTAATGATTTCCTTTGAGTTATATATATATTTTTGCAAGATCTAGATGATTTTCGAAATTCCACTTTAATAGCTTGAAATTTGGTTGTTGGCTCAAAAGATGAGTGATTTTGAAAGGGGGTTATCTCTTACTCTTTTTTTTAAATAATCACTTGAGGGTTTTAAATTATATTGGCGTGATTCTTTCAAATGTTTTAGAGGTATAAGGTTGTTGTGAGAAAACCTAGAAATTTGAGGGTTTTTAAAAGATGTTGAGAATTCATGGATGAAATGGCCATATATTTTTCTTTGGTGCCAAAATGAATGAATGTTATTTTTTTGAAAAGTTCTTATTTACATTTATATAAATGATGAGTTTCATGAAATATAAGAATTGTGATTTTTGAAAGTGGTTGTTCAAAATGTTGATATAGTCTTGAAATGACTAAATTGTCGAGAATATTCGAAATGTGGGAAATGTGTATTTCTTGGATAATTGGAATAAAAGTATATATATTCATCATGAGAAATTGCATTGAAAAGAGGATTGGAAATTTTTATCACAATGGTAATATTGTGTGGAAGGATGGAAATGGAAGGAATGTTGCATTACATTATTAATTGACACATTGACATATCCATTCATTTGATTATGTTAAGCTTTGAATTTAAATTTGAAAACTTTTGCATTGAGAAATGAATGTTTCGAAACAAGTTTTTATGGAATGATTTTGGGGTAAATACGTTGGTAAGTCCGGATAGAGGTGTAGATGAAATTGATTAAGTTGGCCTGAGTGTCCGGGGTGAAAGACCGAAAACACGCGCAGACGAGGTACCACTTCCCTTCCGGTGAGAGACGGTAAAGTGGGGTTTTGGTGGTGCTAGCTATGAACCTGCAGACACCAACTTAGGGATTACCTAGTCATATTTACCGCCCCCTTGAGTTAATTGACAAATTTTGAGTTTGTTGAAAATGTCAAGATATCATTGAACATGATGGTTTTTCAAAGGATGAGCAAATGTGATTTTCTTTCGAAAAGAGTATAACATGGCATATGTATTTCATTCCTTGAGACTTGTATAAAATGTGATTTACTTTGTTAAGAATTTTCTACTGGGTTTATACTCACCCTATGGGATTTTGGCAGGAAAAGACGTGGTGATCCCGCCAAGTTAGGGTGTGGACGTATATGTTGGGAGCATAGGGCTCTTAGTTTTGTTGTGGTGTATTTTTGTTAGCCAAGGGCTATAACTGTTTGGGTCCGAAAGACCATTTTTGTGTAACCGGGCTTAAGCCTTGGAAATGGTGAAGCCCTTAAGGCATTTTATTTATTTTTGGATTTGATGTTCTACATGCTATAGTGTAATAACCCACATTCATGTCTTAGTCATGTTCATGTACATTTGCATGATTTGTTCTTGTTAAGCTTGCATTTGCGACTTTGACTTGTTTTGCCGAAGTAAAGGTCCCTGTCTTGTTTTGTGCTTATGTGATTTGCCTAAGTGTTGTATGCATGTTTTGTTCCTTCCTTGCTGTCTCAAGCCTAGGTCATGTCAAGCCTAGGTCACACCTTTGAACCTCTTACCCCTAGGACCATCTTGGAACCACTTTGGTTGACCTCCACCATCACCTAGGCATATTGGCCAGATGTCATCATCTAGGCATGGCATCCTAGAGCGATGTGCATCACCTAGGCCGAGATGTTATCATCTAGGCGTCCTAGATCCTTGATCCTTGCACCTAGTGATCTTGTTCCGGGACTGGAATGACCTAGACCGAGGTATGGCACATCTAGGCCGAGGCGTGGCACAGCTAGGTCAAGTGTTATCCTTCCTAGCCGAGGTCATTGGAACCTTACTTGCCGAAGCCTATGTCCTAGGCCGAGATCATTACCTGCCGGAGTGCCCATGCCACCTTGCTTGTCATACACACTTTGTCATACACTTGTCTTGTCTTTCAATCACCTTTTGAGGAGAACCAATCCGGTAGTGCCACGTGTCCCAGCAGAGGGTTAAATCAGCCAGTAGAGAGAGAAAACCTATCATTTCTATATCTTTGTTTTAGGTAGAGAGAGAAAGCTCTAGAAGGAGGAAGAGGAATTCTAGAGAAGAGTGGATTTCCAAGCTTGATCCCTAGAGATCGAACCGTTAGATCCGTGTTTTAAGGTTAGATTCGTGATCTACTCTTGTTATTCTTTATGTTGATCTAATCGCATTGCATGATCTAGCATGTTTCATGAGCCATGCATTGCTTTGAAGTTCGGTTTTAGAAAGAGAAAGTGATATTCATGTGTTCTTGAGGAAAAGCCATGTTTTGATCCGAAAGTTTGTATCAAGATCCATGTTTTCGTGTTTGTTTTCATATGATCTTCAAGTATGGGTACCAAGCTCCATGTTTTCGAACTCATAACATGAAATCCCAGATTTTGTAATAACAAGTTATGATTTTAGCATTCATGTTCTTCATTTTCCTCATGTTCATGTTCTTCATGTCCTTCAAGGAGGAAACCCAGATTTCCAGACCTCATTTCCCTAGGTGTGATCACCGAGACCACTCTTGCCTAGATCACACACCTAGGCCAAGCATCGTATCTCACCTTGGCCTACCTTGCACGATCACTTGCACCTTAGTCTATCTTGCATGCACACTTAGGCTAACCACTGCATCACCTAGGCCAAGATGTTCATCATCTAAGCCGACCATGGTACACCCTTGCCGGCATCTTGTAACACCTCC